CTTCAGAGCAGGCGCAACATCCTACAAGCTGTCACACAGCTGCAGGTAAAAAAAACAAAGAAAGGACAAAGGGTAGGTCCCTCTGCCCATTGCCACCCCAGTCCCTGATCCCTCTCTCCCTCTTAGTCCTCCCTCGGCACCGAGGATCTGGGTCAGGTATACTACGAGCCCCTGAAGGATAACCATGGCAACGTCTTGCTGGTGACCTTCAAGGAATGCTTGCCGGAGGCCCAGTGTCCTGAGCACCTGCTCCACTGGGCCTCCCTCTCCTGCTTGGACAGGAGCAGGCCCATGCTGACGCCCACCCCCACGGCCATGGAAGTGCTGACCGAGCACCTGAAGGTGATCACATGACCTCACGGTCGGTGTTAGCGCGGCGTGTTGGACGCCATTATTTTTAGCTGCAGGCAACTGAATGGCTTTTACCAACTACTATAGCACCCAAACCTGCTGGTTCTGGAGTGCAACAACAGCTCCCGGCTGTTGGTTAGAAACAGTAACCTCCCGGCGCCTTATCCTCGGTCTTGCCTTCTCCTTCTGATGTGAGTTTTAGCTCCAAACAGGTTTCTCGTATTTTCTTGCCTCAGTGTGCCGGTACGTCCTCTGAAATCCGGGGGGGGGGGGGGGGAGACCTTACTGACACCCCCACCCCGTCTTTACGCCCCCGCCCCAGGAGAAACTCCTCCACCACAGGCAGAGCATTCAGAGGGCTAACCCAGGCCTCTACGTGGGCGTCCTCAAGCTGCGCAGCCTGGTGGAGCAGATCCGAGTCCTGGTTCCTCAGAAGCTGCCCAACCTCCTGTGCCACGCCAGGGTCCGGCACAACGCCCACGTCTCACGGTATCGCAGCAACACGGACTTAAATCCCACATCCCCAGAGAGGCGCCTTTTGTTGGACTGTCACATGCTGTTAGTGTGATACAGTAATGAAATACTATCGCGTGGCTCAGTGGGAGCCACAGTCGTCAGGCTTGTGGGTTCGAATCTTGCCTCGGCAGTATGTGGAGGTATCTTCTCCCTGTGTAAGGTTTCCCTATGGTTTCCGCCCACAGTCACGCAGATGGGCGAATCACCTCGAAACTGCCCACAGTGTGTGATTGTGGGTGTGTGACTGTGTGCCCCATGATGGGCTGGCACCCCACCGGGGGGGGGGGCTTACGTTGTGTTCTACGCTGCCTGTGGAAAGTGTCCACATGCACATGAGCAGCTGGAAGAAGGATGGATGGATGGTTGATGGTTGGATATTATTATGGGCTGTGCAGTGGCTCAGAGCATTGTGATCTATGAGCATATTCTGTCTTGCATCCTATTCTCCCCCCCCCGCTTTTTTCAGCTGGAGGGTTTCAGGCTGAATAGCTTGTTCTCGTCACAGCCCACAGTCCTAGAATAGCATCACGGGTCTGTCAGGCACACATTGCCCAAATGGGTTTCCTCTAATAACATATCAGGCTTGGAGGGGCTACTGCTGCGGGGGGAGGGGGGATTTTAACACAGTTGATGGAGTGTGAGCTGATTTGTGCTGTGTGGGATTCATCGCCACAGTGGGATAAAGCTACCCTTATTTTAATTGATTTGTGTGTAATAATAATAATGGTAATTTTCTGGTTTTGTACTTGGAAAGGGAAGAGTGGGCGTGGCTACAGAGCCTGTCGGTGATTGGTGATGACGGAAGAGGTCAGTCCATCTCAGCAAATCAGGAGCCGGCCAGACTGGAGGTCACTGTGCCCGGGGACTTTGTGAAATCGCTGAGGGTCGCCATCACCCAACTGCTAAACAAGCTGTGCATCCCGCTCCACAGGGTACGATCGCCGGCCTGGCCTGCGGGGGGCGCCACTGGCATTCTGTAAAACGGCGCAGGATTTCAGATTTCAGCCACGGTACTGTGTAAAAGTCTTAGGCAGTCAAAGAAAGTGTTTTAGTTTATTAGTCCATGTAATAAGTGTATATTTGTTCAGAAAAAAGGAAATTAAACATTAGAACATACAAATTAACAGTAATACAATGAAATTAAACAAGAATTTGACTGCCTAAGACTTTTGCACAGTATTGTACATCTACAAATAACAGAAAACCGTAGTAATGCTGGCATCTCCGCAGCTTCCATCTGGGCCCGTGGTGTTCCCACCCTGACCCCTCCTCTCACCTTCCTGTCCTCTCCCTCCCCTCCGTGCTCCTCAGGCACACGAGTACCGCATATACACACAGGAGCTGCTGCAGTTCGGGGAGGGTATTTCCATGCTGCTATTGCTACCTCCCAGTGAGGAGTTCAGTGCCACCCCCAGGCTGCCAGAGGACTCGCAGAAACCAGGCCTCACTCTGCCCCTGCAGATCTTTGAGCTGGGTAAGAACTGTGCTGGCTAGTAACAAAAACATCAGCTGAGTATTAATTTGAGTAATGCTATAGTAATAGCATAGTACCAGTGCTCTAATAGCTGAGTAATGATGGAGGACTTTGCCCAAGTGGATTTATCTTATTTATGGCCATTACTATGCAGGACTGTGTTTTACAAGTACTGGTGTTCTGAATAAGCCTCTCATTATTTGTATTATAAAGGCAGCAAAAACATTAATGTCTATTTATTTTTCCCTCTCTCTTTCACACCCCCCACACACACTCGTGTTCATTTCAGTGCATTTCTGGACTTATGAAAAGGAATTCTTGTCCGAGTACTGCCAGGCTTGGGTGAGACTGGAACTGGATGGCCATCTTTCCCAGCAGGCCTTGCGAGAGGCGTTGGACAGCAAGGAGATAGAGGAGGCTAAGGATCGCCTCAGCCACATCACTCGCCTCTCACAGGTGAGACGCCACCGCCCAGGAACGATCTATGATGCATTCCTCCATTGAGGTTATAATGTATGCAGATGTGGGTATTTTGGGTACGGAGAGGAAATGTCCAGTCCATGATTTTGTTTTAACCAACCAGCTGAGTACGGTGTGATTGAGACTCTTTATACTCAGCTGGATGGTTGGAAAAAAATCTTGGTCTGGACTTTTACTCTCTAGGCCTGAACTACCCACCACTGTATGTGTGTGAGTCAGAGTCGGCTGGCATCTCTGTGCGACCGCATGAAAATACAGAGAAAGACGCATCTCAGACAGGATCACAGAACACAGGAATGCGCCACTATTCAGGGCCATGACGCACGCGGCTGGATCACCCCGCTAAATTTCCTACCTCCCACTTCTCCTTCAGAGCCTGGACGCGACGTGGCGTGAGATGCGCTGGATCACGGACGCCATGCAGTGCGTCCGCTCCAAGCATAGCCTGGGCATGGTGCCCCTGGCCTCGGTCATGAGGGGCGAGCTGCGCGTCCAGCCAGCCGTTCAGCACGAGGCCTGTAATATGGAGGGCACATGCCACCCGAGGCTAGCGACACCAGGTTGGCACGGAGACTGAGCAAAGCATTAATCAGTCTGCTACCTCACTGCTTCTCTTTGCTGGTATTTATATCTTCATACTAACCAGCATGGATCCTCACTTTGGGGGGGGGGGAAAGCATCTGCTAAATGGATGTAAATGTGAATTAAAATCTCTGAACTCTGAAGCGACTCCCTCTACATTTCTCTCTATTCCGCTGCTTTTTCACTGTTCAGGGGATCCAAGGTCTGCATGGCAGATCCGGCTTCTCAAACAGACATTCTGGCCCTTCTATCCGCGCTTGTGTGTATTAGTGACCATCGATTGACCCTTTTCCACTATCGACCCTTCAGAATCGAGGAGGGAACATCAAAGCTCTGGACCTGTGCCAGTAGAGGGCGCTGGAGCAGTACAGGAAGCCGCCTCCGGAGAAGATGGCATTACGGAGAAGCCTGAAGAGGTGTACCTGGCAGACAGCGGCCGACAGCCTTACCGTGCGCTCCAAACCCAGGGCAGGACTCAGTCTGCAGTCCACAATGGTGCATGTCAAAGCCCGCTTTCCACTGACGGTTGCAGGAGTCCGTTCGCAGCACAGTCTGATGCCGCCTTGCAGCTAGAGGCAAATAAAAACGGCGGGATGACCGACACGTACGATGGACTCGGTCTGGGAAATAACATGGGTGATGTTTCATACCGTCTTGGAGAATCTGGACTTCAGGAACACCGTTGTCAGCCAAAATCAGGACATAGTAAAGATGCGAGCAGGTACATTGATTATTACCATCAGTCCGTGATCAAAATGTCCGAGCACCAGGCTCCGGGTGATGAGCCGAACCCTAGAGAGATTCCGGAGTTCGGTGAGGATGGTGGGATATGGGACTGCTTCGGTGACCTGGCCTCACGCAGCGATCCTGGGGATTTTCTGTTGGATGAGGTGACACCCAGGAAGAAGCTCCCGGCACGGAGTCTGGTAGAGTGGGTCAGCACGTGCACACCGCAATCCTGACGGCAAGTTCCCGACAGAGGAGCGCGCCAAAGTGAATGCAAATGCATCACAACGGTCCCTTATTCTGTCTGTCCGTGTCTCCCTGTTACATGAGGAAATTTATACAATGCAAAGAGAACAACATACTAAGCACATCTATTTAAATCTAAATTTAATGACATATCTGTATCATATATCATGCTTGGAAGACAAGTTATTTCCTGCTGTACATTTTTTTCCCGAATTCACAGAAATGCTGGGTGCCTTGTAAAAGAAAAGGTTTTTGTGTATATAAATATAATCCATTTAGTTTATTAAAATAAAAAATTCTAATTTTGGTAGTTTAACCACTATAAGGCATCACGTGACTGGGTGAGAAGGATATGAAAACAGAATGTTTTTAAACTTGATTGTATTGTATTCTCCTTTTCTCGGTTTAACGATATAAAATGTTATATCGTAGGTTTGGCTACATCCATGTATCCCATAATAAATGTATAATTCATATTAAATTTCCATGACTGGGTAGTTAATATTCTGCTGTTTCACAAGAATCACACGCGTGGCAAAAAATGTTCCATTTACAAAGACCGAGATAAGAAAACATTCCAAATAATAAAAGTGAAATTAATGCATTTCGAGACAAATCTGTCGGACAATTTCCCTCAGACTAATTGCTTCCTTGCTTTGTTCCTTAAAATTAAATTTAAACAACTTTTTGGGAATAAAAATTATTGATTGGCAGAGTTTGCCACAACTTCTAATTTAAGTCTGCCGTCCTCATGAAAATTAGATATAAGGAGACAGGCTATATGCCAAAAAGCTCCAAATAATAATCTTTGGTAGTAATCTTTCTATAATGCACTATAGATGAGAGCTTCTTAGAGCATTCATAATGCATAATAAGCATTGCTATAATATGTTATGCTTTTTATAAAAAGTTATAGGCGTGCTTATAATACTTTATGAATGCATTATATGAAGGTATCTATAATGCATTATGATGAATTCTTTAAATCAATTATCTTCTTTTGACTGACTTGCGGTGCTTGGGTACACGGAATGTGCTGGAAGCGAGGTCCGGCAGAGCAGCTGCAGCGCAGTGGCGCAGTGGCCCCGCAGTGGGCATGCTCAATCCGAGCCCCATGCGGTCTGCGTGTCGCCTCCGAGATCGCGGATCGCGTTCGATTTCACGGCGACTACTGAAATGAGATGTCTGGGAGACAGAAGCTACTGTAAATACACAGTGGTTTAAATGAACGACATCGACACAAAGCTGCAGTCGCGTGGCTGAAAAGAAATATATGGCGTCATCTGGAGGCGCGGCAACGAGTCCGGGTAAGCGATTTGACTCTTAAATGCAATATTTATCATCGTTTTCAGCTCTAAGATTCTCGTAAGAGAAGAACGTTTACACAATTAACAATGCTCAAAATAGGATTGCTGTTTATATGTGCACGTGTTAGGTGATAATTAACAGTAATAACAAACCGGACTCTCCTTTCACAGAATCTGATGCGCAAGCAGCACCAAACGACCCGGAGCTTAGGATAGTGCTGCTGGGAAAGACCGGCGCTGGGAAAAGTTCTTCTGGAAATACCATCCTGGGTAGTAAATCGTTCAAGGCTGAGGTGTCTCCCAGGTCCGTAACAAGCCAGTGTGAACGGAGGAGCAGCTGTGTGTCCGGGAGGTGCGTCACGGTTATTGACACGCCAGGCTTTTTTGACACCCGGCGATCCAATCAGCAGGTGGCGGGGGAGATGGCCCGGTGCGTCCTCCTGTCTTTGCCAGGCCCCCATGCCTTTCTGGTAGTGCTCCAGGTGGGGAGGCTCACGCAGGAGGAGAAAGATGCCCTGCAGTGGATTGAGGTGACCTACGGGGAGAGGGCTTTAGAGTTCACCATGGTCCTCTTCACCTGGGGGGACCAGCTGAGGGAGAAGCCCATTGAGGAGTACATGGCGGAGAGCGAGGAGCTTCAGGAGTTCGTCCGCCGTTGCCGGGGAGGGTGTCATGTCTTCAACAACACTGCACTAGGAAACCAGGACCAAGTCTCCACGCTGCTGGAGAAGATAGACAAGATGGTGGAAGCAAATGGGGGCAGCTTTTACACCAATGAGATGTTTCAGGAGGCAGAGAGGGCAATAAGGGAGGTGCAGGAGCAATTAATGGTGGATAGAAGGTCAGAGGTGGATGGGGAAGGACCAGAGAGTAAGGGGGAGCTGGACGAGTGGAAAGAGGAGAAAGCCAGGAAGCAAGCGGAGAGGCTCTTCTGGTGCGAAATGATCACTGCCTTTGGCAAGGGGGCGGCCGAGGGGGTGGGAATCCTCAGCAAAGGGGAGAGTCCAAAGAAAGGGAAGGTGGTGAAAAAGGCAGTGCAACTGGCCTCCAGCCCACTGTCCCTGACATCAGCAGCCAAGGCACTAGGGGGCGCCGTGAGGGAGGGTAGCAAGGTGCTGTACAAGCACCGCAAGACTTTCCTGCACTGATTGACCGGGACATCGATAGCGGGTCCATGTGGTCTGCATTTTGCTAACTGAGTGACACTATAGGTAAGAGGTGCAGGGATGGTTTTTGGCCGATAGAAATATGCAGGATAACAAGGTCTGAGGAGGTAATTTTCACGCACCATTGCTGGGCTTCTGTACAGGAAGACATGGTCAAAAGAATATTCCCTATGTTTCATAATAAAAGTCCTAGCAAAATCAGTGCATAATTGATATTTCATTTTTAAATGTAGGAAAAGATTACAGCCAAAACAAAACACAAACCAGTTGAAAACCACCTTCTGAAGACATTTCATCCTAATGGGGACCTACCAAAACACGATCCGTCTTGCTGATACCACAGGTCTTTGGTCATACTTTTCTCCCATTGGGGTATCGAAATTAAAACATGTGGTAACACAAAGAAATTATCATGTGTAATGACTTTAAAATGAATGCTAGTGTGTTAACTTTGACGGTCTAACATGCAAATGTTTTTACTAACAGGCAAAAAAAAGAACATAAAAATACGTTGTTTCAGGATTCATTTTTTTCTGAAATCAAAAGGCTACATTTAGACAAGTGTTTCTTTGTGTTTAGTATGTAGTCTGAACATGTAATGTTAGTACATGAAATCATACTTCAATTTTGAAAGAGTGGCCCCAGCTCCCCCCCACCCCAAACAAAAAAACTTCACCAAAGGTGGATGCCAAGTCAGTACCCCCTGATAAGATGGCGCTGTAGGCTGCCACGTGTTTCCCACAATGGGCTGACTGACACTGCTTTGTACATCTATTGCAAACGATATATTCGGTATGATGGCTTCGAATGAGCACGCATGTGGTATCAGTTTCAGCGACACCGAACAAAAATGTGCAAATTCCACGTCAACATGAAGATGCTAACGCCCCAGAACTATTTCCAGCACAAGAAACAAAAATTGACATCAGTCGATGTTGGCAACACACACAAAATGTGCAAGTAACTCGTGTTCGATGAGCCAAACATTGCGTGAAATGTTTATGTGGGTATCGGGGTGGAACATGAACATTTTTGCTACCAGCCAAGTGGGCTGCTTCTGTAATAAAATGCACTAGCCCAGATACATTTTCACTAGCTCTCAATGGACAAGCAAACAAAAACCAACACATCTTACAATAAGAAATTACCATGTAAAACAGTTATTTTCAGTCTGTAATTTATTAATTTGCATAAACAACTTACTCATTCAGAGTGCTAAATGGTAACATGGTTGATACACAGTCAATCCCTACCAGTCAGCCATATATCCAAAATTATCAAAGCTCAGTGTCTTGGAAAAGAACCAAAATTTTCTGAAAATGTTAGTTATAATACAACAAACGCTCTGATAAAAAAAGATCAGAATACAGTTTTATATGTTAAAATTTTCTGATACTTATGTTTATACATATTGTACACAGAATTACACCAGTATCAAAACACACATGCATACACAACAGATATATGAACACCCAAATATATAAACTATTCTCCAGTGGATCAAACCATTTCAAGAATAATAGGGGAGATTACATCGGTTTTAATTATTTTACTGTTATCTGTGTGAAATGTTTAAAGCAGTGGTTAAAGCAACTGAATATTTAACTCAACTGTGCTGAAATGTATATGCGGAATACGGAAACCTTTTTTATCCAGTATATATTGAAACAGAATTCTTGTTTACAAACGAACACAAACAAACGAAAGAGTGGATGAGCTGTGATTGGAATCCATGTAGAGAGTCAGGGGTATGGGAAGGATATGAATAGGAGAGTCCTGTTTGAAGCAGGATGTAGTGGTTGCTCATACATGTATCGGCAAGGCCATCTTTCCACTGCCCATCAGTACTGTAGCAAGACAGAAATGAACTAATCCATTAGATACATACGCTCACATGCATTCCGTTAGCATTTTAGCGACATTCAGCTAATCGATATTTCACAAAATAGACACTTCTGCTGCAACTAACCTCTAGTGATGTAAAGGTAGAAGAAGTCACAGTAGAATATGGTCTGCACCACACCGGAGACGACGGAGATCTGGTCGAAAAAGCTCTCCGTGTGGTAACGCCACACCCAGTTGGCCAGATAGAGGGCTCGATAAAGGCCCAGGAAGAACAGATAGTGTGTGGTGATGGACTCCGCCTCGCCCGTCTTGATAATCATGAAGAGCTGCGGCAAAATAGCCACAGACTCCAGGTAGATGGAGAATGTCCAGAGGACCTGACCAAGAAACACGCAAATGGGTATGGAAGACCAGAGGAAGCCAAGCACTACATTCACACAGATACACCCAACCATCCGTATTCTGAACATGGTGTCTGAACAGAAGCCACACTGTCGTAGCCCAGATCCGAACTCTTCCCCCGAATTAAAATCCAGCGGGTCTCAGCCACTCACCTCCAGCGGGGTGAAGGAATAGTTCTCGATGAAGGCTAACCCAGTGACGGGAACAAGGACAAACTCCACCCGGAAGGTGTCGCTCTCAGAGCTGTAAGTGTTTCGAAAGCGATGGTAGATCAGCTCGATTGTGGCATAGGCCAGAACCAGGAACACAACCTGAATTAGTGGAAGGGAGACATACGATTCACATAGTGCAACAACGTTACCTGAGGCTCAGAGCTGTAGTGATAGGACAGACAAGAAATGCCTGGGGGTCCTGAGCTGGCAGGGGGCTCCCGAGGGCGGTCGATTGCACAGCACATTGCAACGACAGATTTGCTTTATTTGTGTATTATGTTTTTCACAAAACTGCAGAGGTGGATAATTCAAGTCCAGAAAGTAAAAATACAGACCAAGATTTTGTTTTAACCAAACAGTTGAGTCCTCTGTGACTGTGACTCTTTATACTCAACTGGCCGGCTGAAACAAAATATTGGTCTGGATTTTTACTATCTGGACTGTGTTTATTAAATTGTATTTGTTGATATTAATTTAGATGTCATGTTAGAATAATGGTAATACATTGTACCATGTTGGGGGAGCCCATTTAGTTTTTTTTTTTGCCTAGGGGCCCAGAGTTGTTAGAATTGCCTCTGATGAGGTGTAATGATCATTGAAAAAGTCACAACAGCAACAAGACTGTCATTCTGACTATCAGAATGTTTTGCTGCTTTAGTTTCTTGAACTTAATCTGAATTACTATAGTAAATATTGAGCTTTATACATTTATACTAAGGAATGCAGCTTGAAATAAATGTGTCTGCTAAGGAAAAACTGGTTTGGCTGTGTGAACAAACTCAGGCTTCCTTATAAAGGGCTTTGTCAATATGACAAACTAAAAATAAACAGGATTCTCAAACAGTTCCCTGGCTTTTTAAAAATTAGTTCAACGTCCATATCAAATGAAACAGGAGGAGATTTCAAAGAGCTGACTCCAAAACTTTCAAAGAAAGCACCTTCATGACAGTGTTGTAGATTGAGATAAAAGAAGTAAACAGGTCCAGGTATCTGGTGGTGAAAACTAGGGCAAACAGGACTTGGCTCTTCCCAGAGATACCTGTCGAGAGAAGATTGTTATTCGTTTTTTATTAATGTGCATGTATAGAATAAACTGACGTTTGCAAATCTGCGGTTCCTTAAGGCAGTGCTGAAGTTATTGCGCTTCCGGTCATAAGAGAAACTCCCGACTGATTTCTTCCTTAATTTAAACAGCAGGGACCAGCAAACCCGTTAAGGAAAAAAACCCCAAAAGTACAATAACATACAGGCAGCGAAAAGAAACAGAAGGATGTTATGCCACGCTGCAGCCGCCACGTCACACCTCAGTTCCCAGGAGACGGAGAGAAAGCTTATTTTATTATGCAATAACACTGTTACAAATCGAATTCTACTATTTTATTCCTGTACAAACCCAATCACCCAAAGAAATATACAGGCCAACTGAAATGCATTTATTATTTATTATATACTAGGCAAAATCACAATAATTCATAAGATTTGTAATTCATACCAAAACTCCGTATCAAATGTCAATGTTCACTGCATACTATATATGGATAGCATTCATTATGTTTTACTTCTGAACAGACTTTTATCTTAGTAGAATGCAACTATAATCAGTATTGTACATACCAGCGCAGGATTTTGACCTCCAGATCTTGACAAACAAAATTAACATGGCCACAAGATGTGACATATCACCCAAAATGCGAAAAATGTTCATTTCGACTAACTTTGTTTAACAAAATGAGCGCGAAAAACAATAATCGTATTGCTATCGGCAGCAAAAAAACAAACCGCAGGCTGACACAGTGATTTCTAAATCGTTACGAAGTTTAAATAACTGAAATAATAATTTGCATTGTCCCTAAGTTCTGTACCGAATCAAAAGGCCTGCTTCGTAAAACTGAACTAACTCCACTTTCTGATTCTGTGAGCAGTTAGTGGACAATGGTTGCCTTCAAATTCAGGAGTCCTTTTTAAAGGCAGTTGTTACTTCTTGCTATGAGATGTTGATCTTGCGTCTACGAGTTCTTTAGATGCCCAGTTCCACAAGCATACCTTACAGCCACGGCGAGCTCTGCATTTTGTCTTCTTCTACGGATTTAGCAGCACATTTTCGTGCGGTGAAAAGGTGCACAGCGCCACCTACCGTGCTGTGAGGGCAGTCATTAACTACATCCACGTACCAGCAGTTAGGCAACATTAGCAATAATCTCATCCAGGTAACTAAATATAGCTAATGAGAGTAAAAACAGTTGTTTAGATGGAAGGATCTATCTATCAGCATGAGGCCTATTTTTGCTACGTGAAAGCATTTCAGATATTATTGATGATGTTGGGTACATTTTTGGGTACAATTTTAAAAAATAGAATTATTTTCAATTGTGAATTGCTCAATTTTCAAGCAAAATGCCAAAGCTGAGTATTCTACTGTCCAAGTCATTCATTTTAATACTATATCTTTCAGATTATATTTAAGATTCAAAACTACTTTTAAACAAGTAGAACTAATAATGAATCCGACTATACAATGAGTAATGAGCGCGACTTTCCAATGACGTGGCAAATATGAACATTCACGTGCGAACTGCATGTAGGCCACACCTTAAGTAGTATGAAAATATCCAAAAGTATACATTAGCCTTTCAGTAATGCTTCAATCATGTAAACTGACTGTATTTTGAAATGTTATCACAAATATACAGTTTGTGTTATACGTTTCCCGTTCAACATAGCAAAGCTGACGTATCCATCACGGAACAACGCCATTATATACCACATACACATCCACAAAATCTGCTCCTCCCTTTCTTAGGTACTATTTTGATATCTCTAATATTATACCCTTTCCTCTCAACTGTGACTTTCCTGTAATCCCATTAAATGCCTGACACACTGCCCAAATTAATTATCCCCTCGCCTCCGCCCTGCTTCCAAACTCCCATTTTTTTTGGCGGCCAGTGTCATAATCCTTAGCCTCTGTCTCTGTGCCGTAAATCACCGTCCTCGCTCCCTTTAGCGGACTGAAATCCTGCAGCCTCAGCGCTAAATCCTGGCTCAGTTACAGAGTTGAAAATGAACCTGCGCGCCAGAACAGCTATTCACGCAAGTCTGCGCGTCATTAGCCAATAATTGTTGTTTTTTAAAAATACATCTACAAGAATATGAATGTTATGGGGTAAGCGTAGATGCATAATTAAATTTGACTTCTCCCACTATTAATCGTCTATGTCAGAATTCATAAAACGTGCCGTTTCGTCTCATCCATCATTTGTCTCTTTTTATCGCCGTCAGTCTCACATGGCACTTAAATGAAGTAACTCGGTCTTATTTAAAACGTGCTTTCTAATCTAATATCGGTACAATATTATTCCTCCTCGTACCAAAAGCTCAAACTATACGGTTTTAGAAATCTGCAGTAGTTAAAGTGAAGCATACTTTTTCCTCAAAAAGTAACAAAGCTCTCCCCCTGGATCTGAAGCGTCAACAAAGCGGGCCACTACTTCAGTTACCTTCACATAATAAACTATGCTGCTGCAGAAGCCAAATCGTTGTCGTCGTCGTGTACACTTTATCCAAAGCGGGTTTGGAAGTACCAAAACTTGCTTGGCGAAAGTCACGTGCCTTAATACTAAAATTGCAAACACACAGTGATGCAGGGTATGAATGTCATCCTGTGAAAAATGCATGTTTTGTTCTGGTAGGGAAACCGAGACGGTGTCCGTTTTGCTTCGGGCTTTTTCTAATCGTTCGTGGCGGTAAGGTGAAGTGCAGAGGGAAGTGATGCGCACCGCAGGCAGGGCGACGGTCACGGAAGGAGGGCTACGGAGCCAGTAACGTGGCGGGGACAGCAGACCACCCGCCCTCAGCAAGGTGCTCCAGTCGAAAGGTCACGACAACTAATCTGCCGCTCTGGCGGCTTACGGGCTATGAATAGACGCCAATGTAGTCCTAGGACATCTTTCACCCGAAATGCCCGGCGCTCTGGCACTAACTACCACCAGCCCTCGAATCCCTCCTCTGATACGTTCGCTCTGTTCCAGCATCCCCTGCCGGTGTTCCGCTACCTGCACCAGCGCCGTTATATATCCCACCCCCTTCTGCCCCCCAGTCACACTTGCGCTTTGTCCATCACGCACTGTACTCTGGCGCGGTACTCCTTTTAAAATCTGTGCTTTGGCTACATGGTTACATTTATCCATTCACCTTCCTGTGAACTATGTCATCTACTTTCCATTATTCTTTACATATTTACGCCGAATTTCCCGTCATTACACTCTGTTCTGAGTGTCTAGACTAGGGTTACCGCCTATTCCATGTCAGGGAGGACGCGTTGAGCTATAGGACAGGATTTGTAAGCTACCATTTGAATCAAAAGGACCTGAATTTCACTCACGTACTGAGTCCTTGCTGTGTGCTGATTCAATCCAGGAAACAAACCAGTCAAGAAGAACTGAACTATACATTCAGCCAAGCGCAAGAGCCTTTCAGTTTTAACGCAGTTTGTAAAATCTGAAGTAGCTCAAAGTGTGCTCTCTGACATGGAGTCTGAGCTGTGAAATTTTATATCCTCCTTAAGATGAGTTTTGATTGCCGAAGTCTTGCCCAAGTATCGTTCTACAATACATCAGTTACCAGAACCATCTCCATCCTCTTAAAGCATTAAAGAATATTGTCAATTATGGAAAATCATCTTAGGCAATCCACGCATTATATAAACGACTTATTTCATGTTAAGACTGTTGTTAAGTATTGAGGGAACTTTCCTCTGTATAATAACACTCGTGGTGTTTTTATAGTGACCATGGAAACTAACGTTCCCTCCTGCTATCTGCCTAAATGACACGGTTAATGGAAGTTATTTTTAAACGCATTGATTTCTGAATAGAAGTGGGCGTGAAACTGTCCAGAAGCTAAATGAGTAGGCTTAGGCAAAAAACAAAGATATTAAAAACACAGTGATTTATCATTATGACGCAGGATTGAGATTTTGGCCGTTCCCACCGCAAATGAAAACCAGAGGAGCCATTAAGAGGTTTGAAAGTAGTCGAATATCCTAAGTATCTAGGAACGTTTCCAGGTGTTCACTAAAACACCAGAAAGTGGTGTGTCAGAGAAAAACCAAAGATTTAAAGGACGGAAGGGGCAAAAAAAATGAAGGGAACAGATATAGGAACAGAAGACACAGGAGGGTTAATAGTGAACGCATTTGGTCAACAGCAGTAGACACCGAAGTATTATTTTATAAATGCAACCAGCTAAATGCACTGATAAAAGGAATAGGCAAAAATGGAAGGAGAGTACGCACTGGTGGAAGACGCACAAATGTGCACAAAGGGAGACACAATCAAGTTGACAAGCTCTCCCGCCTTCACTCACCCACACACTTCCAGAGCGTGTACTCGCGCTCAGGTGCCCGCCCGCGTGTAGGCAGCGAGAGCGCGCAAAGAGAGGATTACTGTTTGCAGGGGGAGCTGAGAGGTAGGAGGTGTCGAGGGGCAAACAAATGATCTAACATGAAAATGCAGAGTAAATTATCCAGTAGGAAAGGAATTTCAAAAAAAGGATTTTGATATACACAGAAGCAACAACGCGATACGGATTTGCTTCTTAGTAATAGTTTGGGAATTTGTTGCAGAGAAGATACAATTAGAAGCTTGAAAAGCGAAGTTGTGGATCGTTCTTGGCAGGAAACAGGTGAGCACGTTTATCGTTTTTGGTCTAGGACGATCTTGATTAATCTCTTTAAATCCACTTAGGTGTGTTAATAAACATCTGGGTGAGATATTTTAAAGAGCGGGCTAAATTAGTTGTTGTATCCATTGTCCCCAAAATATTAATTAGGCCTATAAAATTACATTTATTTTTTCGCCCAGTGCGCATCTGTCCCGCATCCAAATGATGTGCTAATGTCAGTTTTTTTTATTTCGCATTAGGCAAAAATCTGATTTTAATTTATCCCCGCAAATGTCATCTTAAGCGATTCTTTTGATTCGGCAATACAACTCAATTACACTTCCGGTTATTAAAAAAAGATTACAGAACAACGTGCATGGACTACAATCATATTACTTAAAATGTACGCATAACGATGATAGAGGTTTAACAGTTTCTGGAAGGATGGAAGAAAAAGAACAGCAAGTTTCTAAAAATCAGGGGGGTAATCTGAGAATGCAATGTGTAAAATGTAAATGAGTATACCAAAGGTTTACAAAACACCAGACTATCATTCAATAAAACCGCACAAGGTAGGTGAAAAAAAGTTGTAACGTAGCAGGCGGATAATCCCGAATATATACGACTATCCGCCTGTTCCCGTCAGATAAGTCTGCTGTGACGATAAAGCAACAAACCCGAGTTAATTTTTAAATTGTGCAAATACAGACGATTTTAGAGAAATAGAATGAAACATTGCAAATTATTACAAGCTTATAAAACGATTACTCGGGTAATTAAGTTCATCAGGGTATAAAAGAAAAAAAAAACTAATGATCGAATACAACTAACACTCAGCAGGGGAAGGTCATTTTAGCCGTTTTGAACAAATAAATAACTACAAAAAACATAAAACCCATACTGATTTTTGCAGGCTGTCATTGTGTCATTATGTTCATATTTATGCCATATACTTCTGTCACGTTCACTGGATCGCTATATGCCCTTCATATTATGACTGGCAGTTACAAAACTGATACCAGAGTGAATGTGTAATGTAGCCATTATATTCGTCTTCATTTAAACTGTACCACCCATTCATTCATCCACCTTCTGCACTGTACAGGATGACGGACAGCCTATCCCAGGAGACACAGTGCACAGGGCATGGAAGGACCCTGGACAGGATGTCAGTCCATCACAAGGCATACAGCCAAATGCAATTGCATCTTATGAAAAATTAGAAGCCAAACCCATTTGCCCAAATGCATGTTTCTGGAGGAAACCAGAGTGGCCCTAGTGCAACGCTAGGAGCGTATAGCCTACAGACTCCTCGGAGGCAGCATGGCGGCAGCAATCTGCACCCAAAACTTGGAGTTCTACTCATTCAGGCACCCTGATGCACTTTGCAGCAACATCTGATACAATATTAAATACGATATTCCATCATTTAAATTTTATTCTGTGGCAAAGTTGTACTCTAAGTTGTGCCGCATGTCACACTGCAATGATCAGCGATAAGTATGAAACGAAAATCGTTATCCTCACTGACCAGTATACACAGCTTAATCCTCTATGCATAATGTAGTCTAAAAAGTGCGTATGCCTCATCATACTACAGATCTGCGTATGATGTCACAAACGTACTTCAAATCCAAAGACATTAGTCGTGGATGGGATACTGTAAGACGATATTAGCGTCAACTAAGAGCAAACTCCACAAAGTTTCATGGTAAATCAGCATCTGCTCTGACACTTGAATGTTAATTTATTTTTCCGATGGAATCTTTCCATTTTTCTCTATTTAATGATCCACTATGCGCTGCAAACTCTGTGCTCCTGTTTCACTAAAAACGCATCCTTTCGCTGTAAATGACTATCGTTAGCCGTCACGCAGTTTTCGTCGGCAGTGGTGGAGTTGACCCGGTTTGTCCTCTCCGTAATTATGCGCATTTCTGCTTGCTTGCCACTAGATGGCAGCGACGGAAAGGCCGCTTCTATAAGTACCCTGAGGATCTGTTACGACGGTGGATGACACAGCATAGCTCTAATAGGATAAGGGTGGTCGGGTCAGTTCAGAGGCTAATTCCACTATCCCTGCACTCCTGATTGCCGTCTCCCTTCCGCCGTCCTTTTTTCCCCCAGATTACTGCGTGGGACCTAACAAGGTCACTTGATTTTGACCTATTAAATTTCCGTTACTGAACAGAGATTAATACAAGCTACAAGGTTCACCTGTAATTGTCTGTACCAGTGCACACATACAAACAAATGTTTGGCGTGTAGCAACTTACTGAGTACTTAATGTAATACATGCTTTATATAATGCCCAACCCCCAGTTAAGACCTCTTCATGTTGTTCCTATATTTGTGGCTGTGACTCACTGAGTGTTTCACCCTGATTTGAACCTAATGACTCAAAACAACAACCCAATAATATGAGACATGACTGGAAGAATCCTGCCATGGAGACCGTTAATTATCAGCCTCAGCCATCCAACACTCCGCCGTTTCCATGGCACAGCAGAGTCTACAGCCAGGAAGGGCTGCTGTAACGTCTCTGCAAGGAGTTTACATCGTTTTCCTGCTCCTTGGTTTTCCTTCGCCTCTACAGGCGGCAGTGTTGTGATACACTCACCTTCCTCTGATGCATAGAGTGTCCTCTTCCCAGCCAGTCATGTCGTCTCCTGCCATTTTCTCAAGGTCGAGGCAAAATGGAAGGTCCCTGCAGGAGAAAGGGGAAAAAAGCGTTAGCAAGACAGAAAGCTGTTATATAAAATCATGCAGTTACATCCAGAAAATCTCAGAGTGTGGATCCAGAATGTGATCAAATGAACTGGGTGATCAATGCAGGATATTGATTCTCATCAAAGCTTCAGCTATTGAAGGCTGTTGCTAAGAAACCGCTAAGAATTATAGTATTATACCCTTACGTAGGATTAGTGTACTTTTGATACGTTTCTTCGGTATTTTGATGCATAGCATCTCTGTTCTTGCTCCCTACTGGTTCTAGAGCCAGTGTCCATTTCTTTAGAGTCGGGCTTCAGCCCGTCGGGTCTAATTACACCACCAACATGGTAATTTTCCAAGCCGTAATCAATTTTGCGATATAAAGTCGCCAAGAGGCCTGCAAAACATGTTTATGCATAAAAACAATGGAGGAACATGTGCAGAACTGCAAACTAGCTTTGGGTTTGCAAAATAAACCAGTGTCCCGCAGTTAGGAGGGGAAATGAAAGCCCCATAGAAAAGACTCATAGTCATTTTAAATAAATCTGTCAATACATCGTATTCATATTCTGTGCTTAAAAAAATCATTCTGGTACCACTATTTATACAAAAAAATAATTATAATAAATAAAAAATAATTAAGAAAACAGGACTACCGTGTCATTTAAGGATACGACTTTACAAAAAAAAAAAAGGATACGACTTTACGGTGGCTCTAGTAAATTTCCCAGGGACACAATTACGTTACATTGAAGCCAAGCATTCAATAAGTACACGTAAAAACGAATAAAAGCTTCCTCGGTTTAAATGCTGAGGCCAGTAAACTGAAGAACTGGACTGGAAAGGAAAGCGGAAACGAGAAAAAACGGAAATATGCCAGTCTGGAACATTCACCCCAGCCAGAGCGAGCTGGCAGCCGCCCCTGACATTTAATCGCCCAGTTTGCATCATGGATATTAGCCACTGTATCCTGCCCCCCCACGATATTCAGGAAGAAAACCAAGATGCCTGACAGCAGAATGAACTGGCTTGATTTTTTTGGGCAATGTGTTGTCATGGAGACATGCCCAAACAATACCTTTGGCTGGCTCACAGTGATACATACATCGTTACCGTAAATGTCGAACAACCCTGATAAACTCGTGTCAAACACATTGATTCAAAATGTGTCTATTTTAATGTAAGATAGGTTGAATGAGTGATGAGTAATATTCAGAATGTACGTGACAGAGTAATTCCTACAGTCAGCGATGGCGTGGTATTATTCTGATCGACTTTCTCAATCCGGTTTCAGGTCAGCGCCAGCTGTTTCCGCAGGCAAACGCTTAAGCCTGACCAGCTCATGGATTTAAATTGTAGCAGACACCAAGAGCATCTATGTCTTAGTCTCTGTGGCGCTGAACAGAACCGTCTCAAAATTGCACGGCAGAATTAACGGGTATTATGCTAGAAGGATTACATGGGGGATTATTTTTTGATTATGAAGGCAGAAAGCATCTCTGAGCCAAGCTATTGTATGCAGTTGCTTAAAAGGTCATGATTCTGCACAGTTGCTTGTATGAAGACAACCCATTTTAGAAGATGTATTTTTAATATACCAATATATAGGCCTAACAGATCTGCCTGAATGCAGCCTATTAGGGTTAGCTTTTAACAGTTTTAACGATATCCGCTTTTAGTGAGTACCCAGTACTTTGTGGGTGATCAGTACATACTGAGTAGTCAGGGTAATCACATTGCTTTGTTTACATGGACAAACTCTGAGGTACAATGGGCTGTCAGGAAGCACTTTAGGACAGATGTAATTCCTGCATACACTCTGGGTAAATGAATCCATCGGATGGATGGACAGATGAATGTGCTATTGATGTGTAAAGATTCCCCCGGGCATGTAGACAGTCTCCTGTCATATTGTGCAAGACTATAGCTTAGTGCATCTCTAACATAACTAAGCAAAGCATCCCATTGCTTCTGTAAAGTCCTTGGGGTGTCGAGAAAAGCGCTGTGTGAAAGTAACATTCATTCATTCTGTATATCCATGCAAAACCTTACTGTCCTGTGCACCTGTTCTCACAACACTTCAGCTCTGTAATTCAGGCTATCTGTTCTCCATTGTACCCTCCCCGAGGAACTTCTGCTGTATTTTTCACATTTACTTATTCACACAACAAAAGTAACAGGAAAAGTGGACTAACTAACTAACCTGTACTCTCCCCTTCCCTCCCCCCTCTCTCTGTCAGGATGTTCTCTGCATATGCTGATGCTGGTCACCATGCCAGTCCTTAATCTTCATAAGTAGAGCCTGAATCTCTCAGATCTCAGCAACAGTCTCCCGTGCAGACGATCTCCGATTCCATGGGAACGGCGAGAGGCAATAGGTGAGGATGTGGAAATTACTCTTTATATGTAACATTTATATCAGGGCCTTATATATACACACATCATGATGTAACCAGGAATTTGGATTGCAGATAATCTGGAATAAAATAATACTTTACCTTAAAACACAATATGTAATACCTATGACACTCATATCATATTGGCACTTCTGTCTGCTGTATTGTTTACCTCGCTTGCACATTGTACTTTGGACACAGGTGTCTGCTAAATAAATAAATAAAGATTTCTATCGGTACAGTATCCATTTTCAACACCACACAAAAAGATTGGAAATTGAGTGCAATGACCAGAAAGTACCACAAGAGGGAGACCTGAAATTTAAAAATGCCTCTTTTGAAAGACATTCTGACAAAGGCAGTGGAAAAGCGATGCGGATGAGCACACATCCTGGCTCAGATATAATCCTTAAAACCTTTGTGGCCGCAGTCCCTCACACAGGCAAGCCCCTCCCCAGGTAATCCTTTCTAGAGGTGAAAGAAAAGTAAAAGCAAGAAACAAGATAAAATGCGACTAATATTTGGGAACCTTATACACACCCAGAAAATTGTAAGTTAAATTCAAATGTCAAAATAAGAATTGAAATGAATCCTTTGTCTATTTTCCATTATCTCTGTCTCATTCTCCAATCCCATCCACAAAAAAAAAAAGTTACAGCATCGTTTCAACAGCTGAAGAGGGACTGAAAGTCTCGGCTTTCGGGCTGTACAATGGGCACGATCCGGGGCGGCACCATCTGTCCTCCTTGGGTCCAGGGCTTGGAGGTGAAAGGTCAACGGGAGACGTGAGTGGAGGTACGGGGGTCATGGTGGAGGTGCAGAGGATGGAGAGCAACAACAACGGCAAGATCGTGACCGGCAGGAGCAGAGCACCGAGGAGCCGCTTCGTCAAGAAGAACGGCCAGTGCAACGTCGTCTTCTCCAACATGGAGGACAAGCAGCAGCGCTACCTGGCTGACATCTTCACCACCTGCGTCGATATTCGCTGGAGGTACCTGCTGCTTATCTTCAGCTGCGCCTTCCTGTCATCCTGGCTCTTCTTCGGGGTGGTCTTCTGGGTGGTCTCCTGGGTGCATGGCGACTTCGAGGTGCACACGGACGGCACGTCCCATTTCGGGGGGAACCTAGACCTGGGAGGGGGACTGGGCCACAGCCTTGCACACAGGGAGGAGAACCACAAAGAGCGGATGCCGTGTCTCCTTCACGTCCAGAGCCTCACCGGTGCCTTCTTGTTCTCCATGGAGACCCAGACCACTATCGGTTACGGTTTCCGGTGTGTGACCGAGGAATGCCCCATGGCTATGATGACCGTGGTCATTCAGTCCATCATGGGCTGCCTCATTGACGCCTTCATGATTGGGACAGTCATGGCCAAGATGGCACGCCCTAAGAAGAGGGCCCAAACGCTGCTCTTCTCCCACAACGCCGTCATCGCCCTTAGAGACGGCAAACTCTGCCTGATGTGGCGGGTGGGCAACCTGAGGAAGAGCCACATCGTAGAAGCCCATGTCAGGGCCCAGTTCATCAGGCCCCACATCACAGCAGAAGGAGAGTTCATTCCTATGGAACAGACGGACCTCAATGTGGGCTACGATGAGGGCATAGACAGGCTTTTCCTTGTGTCCCCTCTCATCATCATCCATGAAATTGACAAGGAGAGCCCGCTGTATGGCATGAGCAAAGCCAACCTAGAGATAGAGGACTTTGAGATTGTGGTTATCCTTGAGGGAATGGTAGAGGCCACAGCTATGACCACCCAAGCTAGAAGCTCCTATCTGCCTAACGAGATCCTCTGGGGACAGAGGTTTGAGCCGTTGATTTTCGAGGACCGGGACACGTACCAGGTAGACTACTCCCGGTTTCACAAGACCTACGAGGTGAGCTCCACGCCCCACTGCAGTGCCAAGGAGCTGAGCGAAACACCGATCCAGTCATCAACCCGCTCATCACGCTCTTCATCTCCCACTGGCCCCAACGCTGGGCACCACTTCATGCCTCCTCACTCCCCGAGTGACTTCTGCTACGAGAATGAGGTAGCCTTGTGCGAGGACGAAGGGGAACCTGAGAACGGAAGGAGTGGAGGTGCCTCAGACCATCTCATCCGAAAGCCTCTTTTCCAGGAGAGGCTCCGTGAGCAGGCCAGTGAGGTGCTGTGCGTTTTAGACATGGATGATAAAGTAGAATTTGAGCGACTGACAGCCATTCCCCTCGATCCACTCACCTACAGGAAGGAGTCCAATATCTGATTGTCAAAGGACAATTACCATCCTTACTCCAGTTCACCCAGAGATACCTATTCAAGGTCTTTCACTGGGATTGGTGTTTTTCTTGCATTCTGTTTCTTAATGGGTGAAACCACAGCCCAAAGTCTTCCATACGCTTTCTTAGCAGGGCAGTGGTGTGAGTTACTGCTCACTGTATATCTCTCCTGCTCAGCCCCCTTTCTGGCCCTTTTTTGTGTTGGGCAACGTTGCTCCTGGGAACCGACAGGATGGCTGATTTGATTCCACCTGGGACCCGGGAAGATGTGAGATTGGCATCATTTGCCGGCACTAAAAGACAAGAAATGATTCTCATCGCAAGCTGCAAGAGATTTGTGCCTCTCCTGGTCTACCGAGGCAGCTAGTGGCCAAGCAGAGATGATCACAGACTACACCACGATGACTGCTTGATAATCCATTTTAAGCAGACATTTTTCCAGGTGTATTAGTGAGAGGAAAAATTTGACACTTGCAGGTGATTCACCTGAAAGCCTGTTGGATTAATGATAGCACGTCAACAGTGAAAGTGGAGACACACCCACGTTTCAATGAGATGCTGACTGTTAGCATTCTGTGTACGGCTACACACTCCGTTTATAGGGAACACGTGGCATATCAAAGAAAACATATGTGGCAGATCTATGTAATGTATATTTGTCTACAATCTGCCAAAATAGGTTTTTGCTTTTAAAAACTCAGACAGACAGTAGGTAGGTGATCAGTTTAAATTAAAATGTAAAATATAATATATCCCTGCAATATAAGACAGATCATATGAAAAAGACCTACAAGTGGCTGATTGTCTTAACAATCACAGACTTCAGAAAATAAGGTTATTTCTTTTGCAGTAAAAAAAACAAACATGTTTGTAAGTTCCTGGATTCCATTGTCGGCTTGGCTATGAATTGTGATATACTCTCTTTCCAGTGACTGGAAACCAGTATCTGCCCCATAGTTGGAATGGAAAATATAGAAGATTAAGATGCTTTAACGTACTCATGCGAATACCTGCAAACCGCCTTCCTACCTCAGGCTATAGAGAAATCAATTCTCCTGCAGTTTTCCAGTAGGAATCCTAGAGAAGCAACTGCAATATATATTTTTAAAGGCTCTGTCCATAGCCAGTGAATCCCTTCAGAAATCACTGCAGTCTGACCCCCTGATGAAGTACATGCCTAGATGTTGTGGGACGGTGCTTAAAGACTACAGTTGGTGTTTTATTAACGTGACAGTATTGGAGCTGTGAATTATAGTGGTTGTGAAGTAAAACCTGGAAATCAATACTTTAACACAGTGTTTCCCAACCTGGTTTTTGGGGACCCCCAAACAGTCCATGTCTTTGCACCCTCCCAGCTCCATGGTCGATGGTCCACATATTTGCTCCTACTGAGAGATGGACTGACTGGGGCTTCCTGAGGACTGGGTTACGAAACACTGATTAACATGTGACTATTATTGTGACAATTTTGGGCCTCAAATCGGTCTGCTAGGCTAAACCTGTTGAGAAAAGTATAACATTGTAACGTGTATTGTGACAGCAGTGAATCGATGCCCCGAGTGCGTGTCAGACTGTGGTCTGAGGTTTCACCATCTCATTTAGCATTTCCGCAGAAACTCGCTGGATGTATTGGGAACCTTGCACTTTTCCACTGTCACTTAATTAGGATTTCATCCTTATGAATCGTCCTGTGTCTCATTCCTTCTGCATTCTCATTAAAATATAACTGAATGGCAAGTCCACTACTTCGGCTATATGCGGTTTGAAACCCACACACTGGTATTTGACATAGATTTATAATTTATATGTAGTTTTAATTATCGCCTGCAGTCCTAAAGTGAATAACAAAGCGAACTACAAAGCAGATGGCTAAGAGCACTATTCATGCTTTTATTTCTGCAAACCCATTTTGTAACTGTGCGTTTCACTCTCAGCTTTTAAAGGCATTGACGTTTGTATATTAATATTTCAAATCCAGACCTTCTTGTCTTACACACTCAAACCTCAAATAGTGTAGACTTGAATTTTAAAAAGCACTTTACTCCTTGTCTATATATGATTGTAAATAAATTAATATTTATTGTATATTGAACATAGTATGATTATTACATATAACTCAAAAAAACGTCATATTCATATTTCTGCTTCTTGCATTTTGCTTGTTTTTCCTTCATGCATTTATACGATCTTATTCTTATTCTGTGTTTTCCTTCGGAAACTTTAGATCATATCCGCCCTCTAGTGGTGAATCAATTATTACACTCATATCTCAGATTGGATGCTGTACATGTAAACGTTTTCCACAGCGCAACGGGTGACAGTGTTGCCTCTCACTTTCAGGATTGGGGTTTTGGATCCCGATTTTTCTGTGTGTGTGTGTGTGGAGTTTGCATGGACTTTCTGTGTCACTAGGGTTCTCCTGATACTCCGGGTTCCTCCTGCAGTCCAAAGACATGCAGTTAGGCTAACTGGTGTCTTTAAATTGCCCTTCATGTGTGTGTATGAGCCCTGCCATGGACTGGCATCCCGTCCCAGGTGCCCCCGGCCTGGCGTCGGCTCCAGTCCCCTGTAACCCTGTTCAGGAGAATGAAATATGGCTGGAATTTTGCAGATTCCATCAGTCAACTCATTTTCTGATATCCATGCTTCTCCACCAAGTAACTGGATTAAGTTCCGGAATTCCAGAAGAAAAGATCCACCCGTCCATCAATGATAACAGCTAGACCCTGTACAGGATTAGCGGAACTTGGAGTCCATCCCACAGAGCACAGTGCATGAGGCAGGAGAACACCTTGTATGGCATGCAAGCCCATTGCAGGGATGTACTAACACACAATCACACTGTATAGAAACCACTAACACAAGTTCACCAAAAAGAAGGGAACTTTGGAGTACCAATGACAGCCACTGCAATCACTGGGTGAACACGCAAACTCCATGTATGTAGAACTGACAGCAGGCAGAGAACCCACAACCCTGGAGGCGGCATGCGATAGTGCTACACACAGACCCAGAGAACCATAAATTCTGGGGTTGCCCTACAGAAAACGGATCAAGCACCAGGACAGGTTAAAGCCCAGCTCCATACGAATCCCTAAGAAGGTCAGAGAGACATGCAGAAGATCTGACTTCTCCTCACAGTCACTCAATCAAGGTCGAGCAGCCAGCAGATCGGCCAAGTGTGGACGTCTGTGACCCAGGCTGCCGATCGGCCCACGTACACCTGATGGCGGAGCCGTTTCTAATGGAACCACAGGGAAGAATGCGGCCAGTGGGAGGGTGTCGGCCTCCCAAATGTCACCGGCAACGTGACTCTCCCAAAGCTTTGTTCCCGCGTCTCTGTGGAGTGGGGAGGGGGCTTCCCAAAGCTGAGTCAGCGGGTCAGAGGCTTTTCCTGTGCTGCCGCCAAAAGAAAGCCACGTCCAACAAACAGGGACTGGAAAATGACACCAGTAAGGTGCTCAGAACACCCGACTGGTTTAAAAGAGGGATGGGCGATGAAGAATGAAGACAAAACGCAACACCCAGACCAAAGTTTACACCTAGCTAACTTAATTAATACTCCCAGGCGGAGATACTGGGCAATAGACAACAAACCACTTAGCGGTAATAAACCATTAATTATTAACCCGAAGGCAGCATGACTGACTCTGGGTCTTGAAAATAAATCACATAAAAAAAAACAACAAAATTCCACTTGAAAACAACTACGGTTATATAGACCTTTATATAGACCGCTATAAAGGCCTTTCTGCCAAATCCACCCCCTTGCAGATCACACTCTTTCCTGAACCCCATCACCTTCTCGGAGACCAGGACGGAGAGTCGCTCCTCCTCCCCTCGACTGCAAACTGACATCTCGGCCCATTCCTCCCAGTTCCCCCAGATAATTTTTCCTTCCCAGATCCCATCAGATTAGGGGGGGCTCTCAGTGAATGTGGGGCGCCCCCCCTCCCACCAGAGAGGATGCCTCGGTACAGTAAGTCATCTTGGGCTTTATAAATTGCACTTTCGATCCACGCCCCCGTGTCGGTAATTAAATCGGTGCGGATTACAATCTTCCTTCTCCTACCCTAATAATGTACTTCCCTGCCCCATCCCTATCGTCACCATCAATGGCATCATCATCGCAGACTCCACTGCAGACCCCCCCCCCCCCACCCCAGACCTCTATCTTCTCACGCGGCCACATTCTGACAGCACCCACAAAATGGGAAGTGGTTAGACGGCTTGACCTTTGACCTTACTGGGGAGGGTTCTGCAGCTCTAGGCCCCCGAGGCCATTGGCTTTATGGGCCGCTGTCCCTGTTCTGGGGGGGGGGGGGCTCCAGCGTGGGCCTAATAAGGCCCCATTGTGCATTGTCCAGCTGTGATATGAGCACAGCCCAACAGTAAGCCATTGTGCCGCCTCACGGCCCACTGCCGTGCTAATTAGGGGCTGGATCCCTCTCCAGCTTCGGAGTCCTGGCCAGCGGCTGATCTGCTCTCGCCCTCGTTTGCCCATTTCGCTCCCCACACCTTTGCCGTTCATCTTTGCCCCCCCACACCATCATTTTGCCCGTTCTTTTTTTTTGTTGCCTTCTCATCACCTCTCCAATATGACTGAGAAGCATCCAACTTTGCCCGATCCATCTCAACTTCCTGTTTATTCAAACTGCACTTCCTCCTTCTCCAGCTGACCTTTAAGCAGACAGCCACATCTCTGTCTCCGCACTGAAAATTCCATCTCTTGGTTTGTATAATTTTTACATTTTCTGTTTCTTTAGATTCATCCCCTTCCCATACATTCTTCTGTTTTTTCCCCATATTTGTTCCTTCTTAATTATAACTGAAATTCTAACCCCCCCTGTTTTACCAGCTTTTACTCTCTCTCTTTCACTCCCTTTCTCGCCATCTCTTTCAGTCCCTTTCTTTCCCATTCTTCGCTTTCATGCAAAGGGGCACCGGAATGGAAAGATAGAGTTACAGATTCCCGAAATACCTTCATGGGATGGGAGCAGGTT